TATGTGGTTGTTGCATGCAGAGATTAGTAACACTTTAATATTTTAATATTTATCGTACTTTTTAAAGTGAACCTGCGCCATCTTATTCACTTTGGCTTTTTTTTCTATGAAACACTGCACATATAGAGATGTTGCCCTTTGCTGCCGGTGGTGTACTTCCACTTCTGGAAGCATCATTAAGGTGTCATTAGTCAGTCCGGAACAAGAATTCCAGAGGGGACAATGTTAATTCTGCACATATTGGATGTCTGTTGTCCCCCTCAGCCTCTTCTCCCTGACATTCCTCCTACACTGGAGAAAGGGGTGATATCAGTGGAAGAGGATATAGCTGCAGGGAGAACTTGGCCTCAGCACTGAAATGGAGGAGCATTTTAGCTTTATTTTTTTTAAAAACACTGTTTGTTTGGTAACCCCAAGTAACACTTTCACCTAATGTTGGTTGCTCCGTGATCTACACATGTATGTTAATTGAATGTTCTAGGTTTACAGTTGCCCAAAATGGCTAGATATGCCATTTCATACTTGCTCAATGTAAAGTATATTGAAAAGTAGATCATGCAGGTTCCGGTGTCTGAGCAGAACAAGCTGTCTCCCTTAGTCCAAGCCATTGGTTTTAATTGACTATGTAACAAATTGTCTAATACAGAACATCAATTCTGGTTGATTCCAGAAAACAATAGGGGATTACGAACAAGCATTTGGTGATTCATTACTAGTAAAAAAATATTCTACTGAAACCTTTATCAAGACAAAAACCATGTCTCAAGAGACAGGGCCGTATTTATGAAAATTTTCCATAAGGACCTGATGAATCACTTTGTTTAGCCTTTTCTATCTCTGCGGTCTTTGTAGGAACCTTGATGTCTTTTAGTCTGTTTGCCAACATAGTATCAGATTAATTTCTACTGGGATGCTAAGGTAGTTATTAGCCTCTTTTGTCAAACCCAAGTAATGTTGATACATAGTTCTATTTATATTTGCGCACATAGAGTTTCATTAAAAGCTTATTGACGTTGTAGTTGTTGTGCAGTGAGCTATGATGGGAGTTGACATCAGCTTTTTCCGTTCTGGAATCAACTTAGATAAACCATCTTGTTCAAGAAGAGAAGAGTCTTTTAATCCCCTGTTATACTCTATCATGTTTTACAATCCATCTTGTTCTCTGGAGTTCGTTTGTGCCTAAGGACACAACTTCCTTTCTTATACCTTGTTATTTGACTGGGATGCCCTTTAACATCAAGTTTTATATACATCTTAAAAGGTCCCACCCCTCAAGACTTGACCACCATTTTTGTTAACGATTTCTGCTGATAATACGTTAAAAGTTGCAAGAATTGGGGGGGGCCTAATGTCTGAGCCAACAGGACGTGTTTCTCCCTAGCTCCTGCTGAATTGCACAACAGACCAAGCCCTGAGATCCGGCAGTGGAGGGAATAATTTAACGCCAGGTTCGAAGCACTCTGCCAGGAGTTCTGGCGTCACCTCAGCACGAGAACACAACTATATACCCCTCACCCTACAATGCTGAAGCAACTGGGACCCAACCAAGGTGGCCCAAACACACAAATGCCTTCTAACATGGCTCCCTACCTGCCGGGGCCAAGAGACACCTGCTGCTTTGCCTTGATTCAGCTGAAAATCAAACGCAGACGGCGGACCACACCATTCGGAGTCTCAGGAGGGGGAAAGATCTCGACCCCCAGGAGTGTCCGAATCAGTGGACCTACAGAGCAGGCCCTCCTACAGGCCTGGGGCCAGAAGAAATCCTCATTTAAGCATGGAGCCATCGTCTTGCACCCGAGCTTCCCTATCCACACGACGACTGTAACCGCAATCCAGCACAAGACCGTAAAGGGGAAACGGAGCCTCTGTGAACTTTCTGTGCGCACCCTATACTTGCCGACTAGTGGAGTCAGCTGACCATGCTTCCCTCACTGTATGCAGGTCCAAACTCTGAGCCCTTTCTGAGATTAGTGGACGTCATTTGACATAATAGACATGTTACCTTTCATATACAATACATAAAGTCATTTACCTATACGTTTCAATAGAACCCAGTGGCAATTCTTATTAGATTAATAAGATGATCCATCAAGTTTATAATTCTATAATCTTTCTTACACTAGGCATGTTTACAGATAGCCTGTTACCTAATAGCCTCAAGCTAACAAGCGTACTCACTTAACACTCTAACTGCTCATTTTGCTAATTTTATACTCCTGTCTTAATTTTACCTTAGTCTAGACAGTTTATCCTTGTGTAGGAATGTGTATTATGTTATCAACCTAGACGCATATCTGTTACCTAGCCTGTGATATACACTAAAAAAAAAAAAAAAAGAGATGTCTTTCTTGATCAGAGTAATGCACGACTAACCCTGTATGTTGACCATGATGCCAAGATGTATTGCTCTGAATTAATATTTTTCTCTTCTGTATAACGCTATCATCTCAATAAAAGAAAGAATGACAATTTTTTTTTAAAAAAGTGGCAAGAATTAATTGCAAGTTAAAAGTACATGCTCCTCCAAAGGTTTCTATTTGCAAGCCATCTACCAGCGATCTGGATGTGGCTAGCTGAACAATGTTGGCTTATATGCAAATCTCCGAGATTAGCTTAGAGCAGTCACATATTTACTCATTCATGGAGCATGACTCAACAGACATGCAAGGCAAGTGATGGATGCATTTTTGCTTCAGTGTGCATTTAGTGTAAATCCATGGGGTGACAAGCAAATACTGCATTGCATAAAACAAGCAGCAAGTCGGGACCAGACCTGGAAAATCATCAGCTAGGAAGGACAACTGCAGCATAGACTGAAAAAAAGAAATTAACTATTAACGTTTATGATAACCTGACCTGTTAATGATGGCAATAAAAATGAGGATACATAAGATGTAGGAAAAGACAGGTGCCAAGCAGTACTAACAGTGATTTTCCCCATGTTTCAATTTCTCACAACTCAATATACCCACACTTTATACATTCCTAAGGAGGCTGGAGGTGATCAAGCAAATTTCTATAAGTTTCTTTATACAGTTTGAAACACACTGTCCTCAGACATTGCAATTCCAGTAGCTAGTGACTGTCCTCAATCCATGTGACTCTAGCTAGCCACCTCTGGACCATAAATAGATAGGGGCCCCAGGACCTCAAATTTGCTTGTCCCCATTAACCATCCATAATCCCCCCTCTTTCATTTTAAAGTACTACAGAATCTGCGCTATATAAATGGCAATAATAATAAAAAAGAATGGAGAGAGGGGCAAACTGGTAATGGTCTAGGACCCTGCAGAATCTTAATCCTTCTCTGACTATCCTCACTGGCTGATTCATCACTTGCTTTATTACATGGTGCAATCAAGTCCTATGGGCAAGTAGCTAATTCATCAGCTGTGGCATACCAGATGTCCTGCATGTTGTTCCCTCCATTGTGACAGATGTAACACCAGTCATGTCCATGTGGAGGCAAATAGAGTCTTCTGATTTAATGTTTGGCACGGAACATAAGTGCACCTTAGTAGTATTGATTTAGCAATTGCTTGGCTTGGATGTGACCTCTCTGGTATGGTATGTCTAGTCTACTTGTAGAAAAATATGTATGTATATGGGTTCCTGCAAGCTGTCTCTCCTGCAAATGTCAGTGAATAGCTAATCCACTGCTTGTAGGCGTAGCAGGTCATTCAGGCACCAGATTGCCCCAACACAATATAACTTCCACAAACTGCAGCCATGTCAGACAACCACACAACAATTGTGATCCTCCACAGTTAATGACAGAACTGTCAAAACCTGATCAATTCCATAATCTGATTGGCACGGTGCTGCATTTTACTGTACATGCGCACTAGCTTCCCAATGCTTTCCTAGCTTCCCAACTGCAATCATCAATCTTTCATAGGAAAGCATTTAATCAATCCTTTACTCGGTCAATACAAGTTTTATTCAGTCAGTGCAGCAGAAGCATCTCTAGTGGCTGTCATACTAACAGCCACTAGAGGTAGACTTGACCCTGCAATGTACATATTGTAGTTTGTCAAAAACTGCACTATTTTACATTGCATTGTTTATAGGACAGGGGCATTGGAACCAGACTTAGGGCACTGCCTAACTATAGTAATAATGTACCAAACCAGAATTGCTTCCACAGTGTAATGGGGATCCTATGGACATTTTAGAAGAGACTAATAAAAAATGCCCCGTAGCATTTGTGTGATGTATGTATTATATTAGAAAAAGAAGCATGGTTACTGAGCTAATTTTATAACTGAAAAAATGTCAGCATGCTGCTGAAACCGTAATGTATGACACTGCATTAAACGGCAATGTAAAACTTTAATAGAAGCATAGAAGGCTACAATATTACAAATATCTACATAACCCTATTTTTCTGCATAGCTACACATTTGCTTGGGCAATTTAGCTAGTTCAATGTATACATGTATTTTCATACTGTACATGCCTGTCCCAAACACTGTTAAACTGTGTTTATACGACAAATTCCATTCAGGTTGGAGCTTCTCAAATCTTCACGGCAAGTGATGGAATCTGTTCTTTATTAAACAATATATCTTTGTAACATTACCAAGCAAAAGCCATTAATGTTCAGTTCAGCAACAACCGGTAATATTAACTTAATTACTAGTGTAAATAAGTATCAAATAACAGCTAGCATTAATTTTGCACTCGGCCTGAACTGCTGGTTGGAGGGAATGTGAGCAGTTTTACTTCCTGCCAACTGAGAGAATTTGTTGTGGATTATATGTATGTTAATTTATTCAGTTTTCCTTCATTTTCTTTCTTCCAGATGTACTTTAAATTCTAGTGGTGACTGTGACACTTCTAGTGGAAGTATAACGATGCCATTGGTGTACTTTGTGATGAGACTTTTCAAGAAACCCTCTATTTAAAAAATAAATTAAAAAAAAGGGATATTTGTTACTTACTAGATAAGATTACTGATCCTTTTTTAAATAGAAAAAAATAACGGTCGTGGCTTGGTTATCTTGGAGGACAGACGTGTAAGCAGAGAGCTCGGATACCATTACCATGCTAGACGCACTTTCCAACTGCATAACGGAGTACATTTTCTTTAAAAATCGACCCTGTCACTGCCCGTGCCCACAGTTAAATCATCCCACAAAATAAATTAAGTAGAAAGAGATGGCTGCAGCTTTGTTTTTCTTGGCCAGTCACTAGGCCTCAACTCCCCAAGATGATCCTGCAAGAAGTCCACACTGTGTGACAGATGATGTAGAGGACGGTGTGTCAGACTCCCCACTTACTTGCTCAGAAGACATAGCCCGCATTTTACACCAAATGAAAGTGGACAGGCAGTACCTAGCTTGGGGAACAAGCAAACATCGGAGGAGGTAAAGGCGAAATAAATGCGTTAGGGGCCCTGACGGCCGAATAACAGAATAGAGTCGGTAGTAAAGGCATATAATGAGGCAATTAAACAAACACAAAAATGACCTCAGCACATGTATAGTACTGATTAAAACATCTTTAGAAGACCCTGCTAACCGTTCCCTCTGTTATAACTTACAGATGCGTGGAGTTATTTATCGGTTCGGTTTCACTAGTTCACCATGAAGGAAGCCATACTTCGTAAATGCTGCGGCTCAGAGGCCTCAATCTAAGGCATAGCCTTCCAGATTTCTCAAGACTTAGCACCACTAACCCTGCAGAGGAGAAAGCTGTGGAAACCAATTATGGAATGACTACATAGCAATAAAATGTCGTTGTGTTGTTTTATATATTTTTTCATTATCCATTATTTATTGAATATTTTTGAGAAAGAGTCAAGTTATTTAAAACAGATATAGAAATTCATTTTTATATCTGTTAAAAATATATATTTTTTATGAGATTATTGTAAAATATTGTTCATATTTTGGATAATTTATAATGTATACGAAATTTCTCCTTTCCTCTGAAAAATTTGAAAGTGTATTTTTTTCTCTTTAGTTGCATTGTCTTGTATATGTAGAGATGTATGGTAATTGTAACTTGTTGTTAATGTTTAGTGTCTGTGAGTGAGGGAGATACATCAATATTATATTATATGGTTCTATATAGAAGAGGAAAATCCCCGCAGATTGGTGTATATGTATGTAATGAGGTCTGTTTTCTTTCTTTTTTTTTTTAAAGGTGTTTAATAAAGATTATATTAAAAAAATAAATAAAACAGATATAGAAAGTTTGTTCTCCAGTCAACAGTTTGGTAAATAATAATGTGTTTTCAGATTACTGACCCCTTCACGCAGAGCGTAACCTAAAAGGAGACGTATACCGGTCCTTAGAGTGGCCGGGCTTAACGTCTGAGAATAGTCAAAAGGATAGCTAAAGGTCAATGGAGCACAGAAGACGGAATAAACGAGAATACCAAGCCAAAATTCAGGGAAACCAGAGAGGAGAGTAGTCAGAGAGGAAGCCAAGGGTCAAATTTACCAGGAAGACAAACAGGAGTATGAATAGCACTAGAGGAACCAATTACAGAACCACACTAGGGCGCTGGAGAAAGGACAGGGACGCCTTTATATAGTGAGTGGTATTCAGCTTTAAGACCACTCCCCCAAAAAGTCAGGGCGCGTGGCCGCGTTTGAATTTTCGCGGCAAAACCCCGATGACGTCGGCGCACATGCGCCGGGTCATAAGAGGGGCTTTGCCGCCAGCGGCCAGCGTCAGACTGGCTGCTCCGCCTCCCGGAAGCAGCCGGGGACATCGCCGCGCGGCGTGGGTCCGGAGGAGACAGGTAAGCTATCGTTACAACTGTATTCAAAGCAATTGTTAACATATAAAAATAACATGTATGGTATTGTGTTTTTTACACTTAAGATAATGCAACTTGTTTATGTTCCTAACTGTTTAATTTCGTTTTCCATTGAACACATATTTGCTTGAAGGTTTCACAACATATTTAGCTATAACATTAGACATATTCAAACACCTAATGAGGGTTAACTTTTAGGCACCCACTAGCCTGTAGTAGGAGGGTCCATGTGGGAAGGGGGTTGAGCGGACCAAAGCACAGATATGTTATCAGACCCCACTTCTACTTAGGCATTTTCATCCCTAAAGCAAATCCACTACACTGAGAGGTATTAAGCGAGATAATTCTGGTGCAGTGTCGTAGAGGTTTTATGCTCTTGATAGGTGAAGAATAGACCCTACAGTGCCATCTCCTTTAAGATTTGAGGCAACAAACTTTATAATGTTGAAGGACTGTTGGGTGAACAGTTCAATTTTACATGGTTAATGGGTAACTTGGAACACAGATTAAATTAATATATTTTATTGACAACTCAGTTTAATTTTTCTATTCACAATTGGGGATGTGCTGATGTCTTACCTATCCTATCCCTGGTCTTTAGTGACTGGGGAGATCACTCCTTTTAGTGACCTGGCGATTTGTGAGACCAGGTGTTAGTTATTGTACATATTTTCTTTCTTGCCCCAAACTGTAATTCTGTCCTTTGCCCAGCAGCTGACAAGCTCTGTACTAGGTTTGGTGGGGTCTTATGGGAAAGGGGGTCAGTAGAAACTTAAATTCAATGACAAGCTAGGCCTTGTGGACATATGGGGTGCAGAATCCCGGACTATTATTTTTGCTCAGCCCCCCTCAATACATATTCAAGAATTCACATGTTCTAACTTAGCCCAAAGATAGTCCTATTTGTTGATAGGTCATAAATAAATAATATTACTTGATCCAAGCATGCAGATGTAGCCATATTTTTAAAGACTTTACAGATCGTCCTTCTTGGACATGACATCTAAATGCATCCCTATTGAGAGATGCTGAGGTGATATCTGGGATATCCCAAACTTTAGATTTGGTTTTTCAAGAGAAGGCCACCCGAGAAATGGATAGGACTGTAATATGGGCAGCCAACAAATCAGGTATTAGAGGACTTCTCATTAAAACAACCACTTACAGGAAAAGGATCAAAATCGCAAAATATGTTTTCCTTCCAGAAAGCCCATAGAACGGCTGAAGCCAAACATAAAACAGTTCCTTCCGCAAACTCCTTGGCAGAATTGAGAGCGTTATGTTCCCAAATTAAACACCTATTATTATAGGATATTGCTCAACAAATGAAATGGTAGCCATTTCTTTATGAGAAGGCAAACAAGATTAACACTCCCGTGGCACATAATCATCATATACATCTACCCAAACGAATCCCCACAGTACACACTCCCAGGATTTGCAAGTGACCTCCCCAAACCAGATTGCTGCACCACTCTGGGAATTTTATCAGAAGCTTTATAATTACACCTCAAATCATTCGGTAGCAAATGAGAGTTATTCCAGACTTGACTGACTTTTTCGCTTCTCTTACACTCCTGTCCATTCCTTCAGACATGAAGGAAGCACAAGAGCCAGAAGTAATTTAAGATGAAGTGATAGCAGCTATAGTCATTATGAAGGAGGCTAATGCCCATGTCCCAGACGGGCTGAGTTGCAGTTTTTTCACCTTTTTTTCTCTTTATCCTTTTCTTCCCTCTCTTTTTCTTTTCTTTTTTCCTTTTCTTTCCTTGTTTCTCCTTTTTTTCCCCTACCTTTTGATGGACGCAAGTCTCTTTTCAGCTATGTAACCATGTAATATATACTTTCTCTATCTTTTCCTCTCTCACTTTTCATTCACTTTTATGTTTCGCTCTCTTTCCCTTTCTCCTTTTTATATATATTTTCTTTATTTTCCTTTTCTTTCCTATTTTTCTTCTATTTTCTTGTAATTCTTTACTGAATTGTACGCTCTTCTTTACTAGTTAACCTTAAACTTTCCTGGTCTTTAAGGGGTCTGTTATATTTTTCTCTTTTCAGTTTTTAGCTTTTATCCTTCCTCTCGCTTCCCTTTATAGATATCTCAGTCCAATCAGTCCAGAACTAGTTTATATTGCAGCTAAAGTCCCAGCGGAGATCAGTTTGTAATATCGTTTTAAACAAAATTATTCGGGCTGGAGGGGTTTCCCTTAGCAGAAGTGCCACCTACAGAATGGCTCACCCGTAATGAGATCTCGACATCGGGAATACCAACCCTCACCGTGGTTCTTTTGTCAACCGCTTTGTCAACCGCCTTGCCACCCGTGCTACGATTTATTTATTTATTTATTTATTTATTGATGTAACAAAGTAGTTTTTTATTTGTTTTGAGCTTGTAAAATATAATTTTTTATTTTTTTTAATTCTTTATTTTTGGAGTGCTTGGACGTATAACAATTTATCTCGTCATGCCCCAACAGCATTGACAAGTATACGAAAAAACATTTGTTAACAGTTGGTCAGCATGTGAAAAAACAGCACAATTTTTGAAAGCAACATGTTCAGATTAAGTGTTCCTGTCTTAAAGCGATCAGTGCGTAATATGCTTGCCTGGCGGGAGTACTTCTAGCCATATAGAATATATCTATTCTGGTATTATAAGAACAAGATGATCTGTAGATTAGACTAAGATGTCTAGCTACAGGAGTAGACAGCGGTGAATCTTAATAGTAGCTGTTACAGTGGGATAAATCTGATATGTACATTATATATTATCTATTGATAATCTGTGCGGTCAGGTAGACTTAGCAATATAGCAAATGGTACATTAGGTGAACAAGCTATGGTGGGTGCAGTGTCAGTGGAAAGGTGTACTGCCAAGACAGCATTTAGAGCATGGGGAGTGTGCAAAGAAGAAAGTAATACATGGTAAAGGCATATTTCTCAAGGCTTCGTGTTTAGCATGCAAAACTCAGAAATTTGTTGTTCTGGGTGTTAGGCAGAGAATGCGTCCATGTATCATTCTCGGAGGCAAAGTTTGGGTATAGGTATGAATGGGACCAAAAAAGAAAGCATAGGTGTAACGAGAGTCCGCCTGGTTAAACAGGGTCTGTATTGTCGTCCGTGTCAGCGTCCTTGCTGGGACATGCCAAAAGACCGTCCGTGGTTTCTCACCCGTTCATCCGATGCCCAGTCTGTGGGGAGGTCGTTGTTTGCTCTGCAATGGGTAGCAGTGGCGGATCCAGAGCCTGATCTCGGGAGGGGCACTTGTAGACTATTTAAAGAAATAATCCAGACACAATAACCACTACAGCTCAGTGTAGTGGTTATGGTGTCAATAGTGCCGGGACCCCCTCCTAGAGTAAGTAGTCAAACCGTTTAAGAACAATTTGACAACTTACCTGAGGTCTGTTGGGAAATGGTGCTGTAGTAGGGCATAGGAGCAGTGGTGTGTGTGAGTGGTGCAATGTGTAAAGGGGGGGCAGTGTGTGTGTGTGAAGGTTGTAGTGTGTGAGTGAGGGTGGCAGTGTATGTCAGGGATGCAGTGTATGTGTGGGACAGTATGCGTGTGTAACAGTTGCAGTGTGTGTGTGTGAGTATTGCAGTGTATGTGTGAGTGTGGGCAATGTGTGTATATGGGGGCAGTGTGTGTGTATGGGAGGCAGTGTGTGTGTATGGGGGGCAGTATGTGTGTATGGGGGGCAGTGTGTGTGTATGCGGGGAAGTGTGTGTGTGTATGAGGGGCAGTATGTGTGTATAGGGGGGCAGCATGTGTGCATGGGGGGGTTGTATGTGTTGATGAGGGGGCAGTGTGTGTGTATGAGGGGGCAGTATGTGTGCATGGGTGCAGTATGTGTGCAGGCAGTGTGTGCATGAGGGGGCAGTGTGTGTGTATGAGGGGCAGTATGTGTGTATGAGGGCAGTATGTGTGTGGGAGGGCAGGTGTGT